GCTGACCCTCAAACCCTCACAGCTTTCTTCCTAGGGAGAACTGACCTCTGGAAGAATGAGAGCACCAGCTGGGAACAGCCTGGTTCACCCGGGAGTCAGGATTCCAGGGGAGACCCAGCAATCCCTGCGCAGGGCATGCATATTGAGGGTTGCCCTGAAGATCAGAGTGCATACAGGCTCAGAGAGAGGAGGCCCTGCCGTCCTTGTGCAGAACAGGGTCCTGGTCCCCTACTCTCCCCTGTCCTGGACACTGAATTGCTCTGGGCTCCTGTAAGAATGTGGCTGACCATCTGCTCTGGGCTCACACTTGACTTGAGGGCACTAAGACCTATCATAACCTTTAGAGTTTCCTACTATGGCCCGAGGGGCATGCTAACTCTAGCAGAGTTTCAGAAATAGTGGGGTTTGGAAGACGGACTCAGAGCTTAGGTGAACCAAAAAGACGAGGCTTCCCTGAGGAAGACAGCTGCGCTGATCTGGAGGTGTGCTCAGGCAAGGTCTGTGCTTGAGCAGGGGACAATCACGCCTTATGGCTTGTTGGCGCTGAACGAGGTGGTAGGTGGACAGGGACTGCACCTGGGTTCTGCAGGGCCCGATGGCGCTCAGCTGAACTTCGCCAAGGGGGCACGACACAGGTTGGGTCACCACACTCAGGATGGAGTCCTGGGCTCTGAGGAGCTGCCAGAGACGTGCGAGAGGACAGGAGCTCCGGGTTCCCAAGCCATAGGTATTCCTGAGTCCTGATGACACCAAGCCTAATAGAAGGCCTCAATCTTTCTTCCTCCCGCCTACTTTTAGTCTCCTCCACCCGCCACCCTTCCAGGGTCCCCGCACCTCCTCACTGCGCTGCTCCCTTGCCCTCAACAAGCTGCGTGGCCCCTCCGCAGCATCTCAGCTTCCCGGGAGGTGAATGTAGCAATCAAACGCACTAAGGTAGGGACACCTGCAACACCCAGAACTAACAAAGGACGGACGTGTACCCTGGCTAGTCGCGGGGTGTTCGAGCGGCGCAGGGGCCGGGCCCCCCAATCACTCAGCGTTGAGGTCTAGGAGGGGCGGGGCCTGGGGCGGCTCGGGTCCTTTTGTCTGCAGCCCCGCCCCGCCCCGCCCCCACGCGGGCCCGCGGCGCGCGGCAGACACGAGCGGCTGACACGAGCGGCCGCCGCTGGCGGAGGCTGCGCGCCGCAGACCCGGGCGGTGCGAGCGCGATGGCGGCGGCGGCGCGGGGCTCGGGCTAGCTGCGGGCGGCGCGGATGGCGGGCGGCGCGGGCTGGGCGGGCGCCCCCGCGGCTCTGCTGCGCTCCGTGCGCCGCCTGCGCGAAGTCTTCGAGGTGTGCGGCCGCGACCCCGACGGCTTTCTACGCGTGGAGCGCGTCGTGGCGCTCGGCCTGCGCTTCGGCCAAGGCGAGGAGGTAAGGAGCTCGCGCGCGTCCCCATGCTGGGGGAACCGCAGGGACCCCGTGCTGTCACACCCCGGGCCTGTGCGTCACATGGCACGCTCGCGGTGACCGGCCTGTGCACCTGCCCTTCCCTCCGGGCCATCCCCAATCAGAGGAGCTCTTAAATCTAGCCTTTGGACACCCCATCCCACACAAATCAAGTCGCAGGGGTATGTGTGCACCGCACCAGGCCTAGGGGTGACAGAGACAAGCAAGGGTGATCTGCAGCCTCTGGTCCTTAGCCGCACCTACCCAACCTAGAACAGAAGGAGATATCTGCTTGGGGCCACCCTGGATTCTGGCCCAGTTCCTAGTGACCTCTCACTCAAGCTAGATGGGCAGGCCCGACTGGCAGCGGGCTGTGCTGCCCGCAGTGGGGCCAGCCAGGACCAAGCTGGGGAGTGGTTAGCTGAGCCTCTGGTGTTGATGTAAGGTCGCATGGGTGGCACAGAGCAGAACTGTGGGCGCTGTTAGTCTGTCTAGAATGGCAGGATCTGAACTGCCAGTGTGTGATGAATAACTGGCCATGGAGCTAGTGTCCGTGACTGAGGGGAGGACAGGGCACTGTGTGCATGCAGCCCCGCCGTGGTCAGCATCTCCTGGATTCAGAAGCCCCTGCTGAGCTGTGGGTTTCCAAGGCCATCTGAGACCTCAGGCCCTATGTGGGGAGCTTAGGACCTTGGTCTCCAGTGGGTACTGGGTGGCTCTGTTCTCAGGACAGGTCAGAATGGCATTTTAGAACATGGGAGGGAGGAGCTGGGCTGGTGCCTTCTTGTCACCTGACAAGTGTAAGGTTAATAACAAACCCTTTCTAGGTAGCTGGGCACTGGCTAGAACCTGGGAATCCCCAAGAGCAGAAGGTGTAGGAGGGAGGCAGGTGTGGGTCCCCCATCCCAGGAAGCCCATTCTTTACCCTTCCCTGCTTTCCTCGGGGCATTTGCCGCTGCTACCTCTGCTTTTCTTGTACAGAGGTTAGCAAAATCTCTCTTCTTGGCCATCATCTCCCACTGGAGCAGGCTGAGCATCTCCTAACACAGGAGGCCGCAGGCTGAGCATCTCCCTAGCACAGGAGACCACAGGGTATGTAGCCCCTAGCACAGGAGGCCACAGGCTGAGCATCCCTTAACGCGGGAGGCCACGTGCTGAGCAACCCTAGCACAGGAGGCTGCAGACTGTGCAGTCCCTAGCACAGGAGGCTTCAGGTTGCTGGTGTGGAACCTCCTCCTTGCTTTGGCTGGAATCTGGAATTCCAGAATCAGAGACCCTCAGATATAGGAATGGCCTCACTGCAATCTCTGGCAGTCGGCCAAAGCCCTGTAACCATATCCCCAGGCTGGACAGACCCCTCTTGTCCTTAGATCCTCCTCCCTCTATACTTCAGAAAGAAACCTACTTGTCATTTACTCATCGTGTTTCTGCATGGGGACTCACCTGGGTTTCCCTTCTGCACCGTAGCCTTTAACGATCTGCCCTGTGCCTTCTTACGCTGAAGCCATTTCCAGCTCCAGCCCATGCAGCGGAGGCCAGGTTTCCGCCGATGTCACTGATGCATTGTCTGACTGTTTTCCTAGCACTGGCAGGGCTGGACCTGGTCAGTCCACACTCTGGGGAGGGGCTGCCTTTTCGGTGTTTCTGCACACTCTACTCACACCAGGTTTCTTGCTACTAAAACCTTAGGGATCTGTTTGAAAACTTCAGCCTAGGTAGAGCTCCTCCACCCTGGGGCTGGCCAGTGATTCCCTTTCTTACTAAGTTATGTGGACAGTCGAAAATAGATCGGTTATAGTCCTGTCCCCCAGGGAGGTGACACTCTGGTCGCCTCCTTCACGAGCTACTCCTGTGCTTAGATGTAGCTTTCTCCATGAAATGAGGTCATACTGCACCATGTATTCTAACCTAGCCCCTCCCTCAAGTGATCCTCACATAAACTATCATATTTATTATGCAGACCCTTTCCATGTTTCTCTATTTAGCCCCCAAATGTCCACTTCTGACTTTTTTTTAAAGCTCATTCTCTCTCTCCAGGACTGTGTAGTGCACCTGATCCACGTGTCTCTGGCCCAGTCCCCTCCTGGGTCCAGACTTTAAAAGCGTCAGGCCTATTGTCTCTCATTATTTCCTTAAATCTAAGCCTGTGGCTCTTCCCTCTTTCCTGCTCAGCTTCATCTTGCTTGCTCCTAAGCTCCTCCATCCTCACTGCTGCCAGAGGCAGCTCTAGCTGTCTGTGCGCGAATCCTCCCGCAAGGGGCAAGGGAGAATGCGGGGACGCAGGGCAGGACCACGGACAGGGCCTGGGCTCCGCGGGGCTGTTCTGCGGTTCTGCTATCTCCATACGGAGGACCGTGAAAAACACAGTTTACCACACATCAAATTCTCAAATACACCGAAGCACTGCTCCTCAAAATAGGGTTCCTTCCAAAGTGCTGTGGGCTCAGACTGTTTCGATCGTGTTTGCTTACACATCTGCCTGTGACATTGATTCCCAACCCATTGGTGCGCGAGAGACAATGATTGATCATTTGTTAGACATGAGGGTCACTGTCTACATTTTACTAACTGCGCTGGCTACCAGGGAGATCAGGATCAAACACAGTAGGTTTGAGAGTATGAAACAAATACCCATGAGAGCATCCGTAAGTACATGAATTAATAATGCAGAAGTCCCCCATACAGGAGAATGGGAGGAGCTGATGTCCTCAGGTGGTAGAGTGCTTTGCTGTCATGTGTGAACCCTGGATTTGATTCTCAGAGCTACATTCAAAAACAAAACAAAAACAAAAGAATGGATATGGCTGCATAAGATTGGACCAGTCAAAATCTTGCCATGGGGTGCGGGGGAACTCCCAAGGCCCCAGCCCTCCATCAACGTTTATAGGCAGTTAATAGTGCCTATGGGGGAGGGCTCATGAGGACTCTCTTGCTCTAAAGATCTGTAGACAGTTGATGGCTGCTGGGGGAAGAGGAGCCGTTTTCTTTAAAGATGTAGCCACTGGTAAGAAGGCCTCTCACCCGTGTTCCTGTAAGCAACCCTGGTGGAATTCATTGCATAATCAAGATGAGAAACAGGGGTGGGGAGGACATGCGGGGGGGAAAGGTGGTTCATTAGGAAGAGGATGGTTAGTGGGAGGAGGGCAAGAGGTTCGTGGAGGATGAAGTGATGGAAATACATCCCGTACATGTACCAGAATATCATAACCAATCTCATCACGATGTATATCAGTACAGGTTAATAGAACAAAAATATAGAGTCAGACATGGCATCACACACCTGTAACCCTAGCACTTGGAAGGCAGAGGCAGGAGGATCAGACATTCAAGGTTGGGGCTGGGAAGTTGGCTCAGCAGGTACAAGCTTGCTACAGAAGCCTGGTGTCCTGAGTTCAGTCCCCCGGATCCCACAGTGGAAGGAAAGAGATGTGAATCCTGAAAGTTGTCCTCTGAGTGCCACGTGTGTGTCCACACACACATCATGAGAAAGAGAAACTCAAGGCCATCCTTGGTTACATAGGCAATTCGTGGCCAGCCTGGGATAATGAGACCCTGTCTCCAAAGGGGAAGAAAGTGCTCGCTCTGGCAGAACATATAGTAAAATTGGAATGATCCAAAGATTAGCCTGGCTCCTGTGCAAGGATGACACGCAAATTCATGAAGTGTTCCATATTTAAAGTAAATAAACAAACATATAATCTGTGTGCGATAATTCCTCATCGCGGAGGGGAAGCTTGACTCCCCACCCTGGGTATGAGCTATGCCTTGACTTCCTAGGAATCCGGCAGGATAAGAGGGGAAAGGGCAACTTGATAGGGAGAAACCTGGCAAATACCACCCCAGAAGGTCACCAAGGTCAATGCCAACCCTCACTGTGAAGGGACAAGAGAACTCCACTCAGCTCACAACTGTGGTGGTGTGATTGTTCTAAGAGAAACAGCAGACAACCCCACACACACCACCTGAGGACATCCTACCAGGTTCTCACCAGAGCTCCTTAACATGGCCAAGGGGAGTGAAGGGTGTCTAATTGTGTCATCCTGCATGAGTCCTGGACAAGAAGAGGACATTAGTTAGACAGTCAGGAGGTCTGAAGTATGGGCTTCATTGATCATGTCGTGTGTCGACCAGATGGGCCTCCTGTGGCCCCCTGATTTGATAACCTAAGATCTTGGTGCCACCCTGAGGTCTCTGTCAATGATACGATTGTTCCCAGGACACAGGCTGTAGATCAGGAGGAAGCACTCAGCCTTCCTGCCCCTGTCTCTTTTGCTGGGATCTCTGCAGGATGTGTGAAGCTGCAATGAAGAAGAATTTGATTTTCCAGACTTCCAAAGCAGCAAGAGGTACCCTCGGAGGGTGTAGTGGGTAGGGGACCCTGAAGCGAGCAGGCTTCCATGCAGTCCCCTGGATCTCTGGCCTGTGGGATGGAAGTTTACCACATACTGCAGGGGTGCAGAGCGGCCTTCAGGCCCAGCCCAGCCCAGCGATTAGGCCCAGGAGCTCTCCCCAGCACAGAAGCAGAGGAGGAGAAAGGAGATGGGGCTGTGGAAAGAGATGGAAAGAGGGGTCTTTGCCTGGGGATGCAGCACTTAAATCCAGCTGGGCCAGGTTAATCCTGTGGCCTGCCCAGGTCTGGTGGCTCCACAGGAACACCCCAGCTGTCTCTTCCGTCTTCTACCCATTCATCGTTTCCTGTACCTGCGTGTCTGCTTTGCAGGTTCGTCCACCCACCTAGCCACCTGCCAGCAATTCCTCCATTCCTTCTTCATTGTGTGCTCACCCGCTGTCTCAGGCAGGGTTTCTGTTGCTCTGATGAAACACCACAACCAAAGCGTCTTGGGGAGGAAAGGGGTTACTGGGCTTACACTTCCTTATCATTGTTCATCACTGAAGGAAGTCCGGACAGGAACTCAAACAGGGCAGGAACCTGGAGGCAGGAGCTGATGCAGAGCCTGTGGAGGGGTGTTGCTTACTGACTTGCTCTCCATGGCTTGCTCAGCCTTTTTTCTTATAAAACCCAGGACCACCAGCCCAGGATGGCACCATCTACAATGGACGGGGCCCTCACCCATCAATCATTAATTAAGAAAATGCCTTACACGTTTCTGTAAAGCCTGATCTTTACATTGTATTTTCTTATTCAAAAAATTTTATTTTATGTGCATTGGTGTTCTAATGTGTGTCTATGTGAGGGTGTCAGATCCCCTGAAACTGGAGTTACAGAGTTGTGAGCTACCATGTGAGTGTTGGGACTTGAACTCCGGGTCCTCTGAAAGAACAGCCAGTGGCTCCTAACTGCTGAGCCATCTCTCCAGCCTGGAGGCATTTTCTTTTCTTTTTTCTTTTTTTGGAGGCATTTTCTTAACTGAGATTTCTTCCTCTCAGATGGCTTTAGCTATGTTAAGTTGACATGAAGCTGTCCAGCCACCCACCCTTCTGTAGCCATCTGACTGTCCATTCATCCCCCCACTGAACTCCAATCCAGTATTTGCTGCTGGAGTACATCAGGACAAATACAGACTCGGGGCGGGACTGGCATTTCCATGGGGTGCCGAGTGGTTGGTTGTGTGTAGGAAAGTCACAGGAAGGGCAAGGAGAGTGAGAACTCAGACCCGAACAGGGGCAGATGGTGACCAGAGGGACAAAACAGGACTGCCTGGTTCTTATGTTGGAAGGACAGCAACATCCCAGCACATGCTGTCCTGGCCAGCATGAACTATTTTTGTAATTTCTCACGTCTACAGGCTGTTAGTGGTGGTAGGACTGGAGTCGTCCTGACAGGAGCTGCAGCCTGGATTAAAAAGTATCCAAGGGTGCTTGTTAGGGCCGTCAGACCCATCTGCCTCTCTGTAAAGTAAGTTCACAGAGCTGAAGAGATGGCCTAGTGATCGCTGCTCTTGCAGAAGACTTGGTTTGGTTCCCAGGACTCCATGACAGCTCACAGCCAGCCTGTAACTCCAGTTCCTGGGGATCCAGCGCCCTCTTCTGGCCTTCCTGAGCACTAAACTCCACTAGCTACGCAGGCAAACATTCATACGTGTAAAATTTTTTTGTTGCTTTTCATGTGTATAGGTGTTTTGCCTGTGTTCATATCTGTGTACCATGTATGTGCCTGGTGCCCAAGAAGGGCAGAAGGGGTATGAGATTCCTGGAATCTGGAGTTATAGATGGTTATGAGCTGCCATGTGGAGCAGGGAATTGAACTCAGGTCCTTTATAAGAGCAACCAGTGCTCTTAACTGCTGAGCCATCTCTCCAGCCCAGATTTTTTTTTGTTTGTATGTTTGAGACAAGGTTTCTCTGTGAAACCCTGGCTGTCCTGGAACTCATACTGTAGACTAGGCTAGCCTCAGATGCAGAGATCCACCTGCCTCTGTCTCCTGAATGCTGGAATTAAAGGAGTACGCCACCACCGCCCAGCTTAAAATTTTTAAATCATCTTTCAAAAAGGATTCATAAACTGGAGGTCAAGGCCATTCTTTGAGGGTTTGTTTGGAAGGCTAGAGATAAGAAACACACATTCAGGGCTGGAGAGATGGCTCAGTGGTTAAGAGCATTGCCTGCTCTTCCAAAGGTCCTGCGTTCAATTCCCAGCAACCACATGGTGGCTCACAACCATCTGTGATGAGGTCTGGTGCCCTCTTCTGGCCTTCACGCATACACACAGACAGAATATTGTATACATAATAAATCAATAAATATTTAAAAAAAAAAGAAAAGAAAGAAACACACATTCAACCTACTGTAGGCTTACTGCACTCTTGTGTGAGTACCCTGGACTACCCAGGTATCTATGCTGCCCTGAGTCCCAGAATGCCCCTGTCTCCCTTTCTTTCTTTTTTAAATTAATTATTTTTTATTTTATCTGCATTGGTGTTTTGTCTGCACGTATGTCTGTGTGAGGGTGTCAGATCTTGGAGTTACAGACAGTTGTGAGCTGCCATGTGGGCGCTGGAATTGAACCCGGGTCCTCTAGAAAAGCAGTCAGTGCTCCTAACTGCTGAGCTATCTCTCCGCTTCTCCTGTCCCTTTCTGCGTGGTACTTTCTACTGCAGGCTCCCTTGCGCAAGAGCAGAGTTCTTTCAGCCTCCACTGGTGGTTTCTATGGACAGAAAGACTAAGGAACGGACACATTCATCCTTCAGCAGCCAGAAGATCTGGGAGCTGAAGTGACTTGGGCAGGACCCACGGTGAACACAGGTCCTTCTGGTTCCAAAGCTGCCTTCTTACTGGTGCAAGAGCTGCCGTCGTAGGCTCTCGGAGGTGGGGGATGGGAGAAACCGCAGCAGAGGGTTCATTGGCTTTCCGAGGCTAGAGTGGCCGGGTAGGAGGCAGGACTGAGCGGAAATAGCGTGGGATCTGTGACCCCTTTTGGAGTGCCGCAGTCAAAAGGGAAGACAAGAAGCTGGCCCAGGGGCCCACAGGATTTGAGGCTTGGGGTTGGGGAGGCTGCCAGTAGCCACACCCTGTTCTGTTTCCTTGGGCCAGAGGAGGTTTTCTCAAGGTGCTCAGCATTCTGCCTTCCCACGAGCTCACTCCTCAGTAGGCAGCCTGTTCCATGTATCCCACTTGCATCTTAGCGCTAGCCAATTGGCTCTGCCTTGGGCTGGGGAGGCCGCTGGCTGCTGGCATGTCCCAGACTGTGGTACTCCAAGAAGTTACTCTGCGGTCTGCCCCCTTGTGCAGTGGGACTGCTGGCCGCAATGCTTGCTGGGTCCTTACCACTGCGCTGGCATGCTGTGGGAGCGCAAGTGACCGATGGGCAGGGTGTCCGTTTCCCTTCCCACATGTTGTTTCTAGAGCCTCCTCCGTGTCACACTGGTGCCTACAGGATCCACAGATAAACAGGACATTCCTGACCTTAGAGAGCTCCCTAATGGGGCAGGAAGGCTAGGGGAGAAACCTGGGTGGGTTTTTTGTTTGTTTGTTTGTTTGTTTGTTTTGGGGGGGTGAGTTGGTGGCTTTTTTAACTTTTGTGTGTGAGTGTGATTTTTATTGACAGTTTGTACTTGGAAATGTTGATGGAGAACAGTGTGACGCTTCTGTACATACATGTATTGTGGAATAAGCAAATCAAGCCATTAACCTACTTCCTCCCGTTCTCGGCATTTCGATTTCTGGTGAGAACATTGAAAACCCGCTCTTGGCGTATGAAATTAGCGCAGCCACCTGGCAGGCAGTAGATGGTCAGGGCCTAGTCCTCCTGTCTAACCAGACCATTTTCTGACCCCTTCACCCAGTAATCCCTTTTGCTGGTGTAAGCCGATGAACTGGGTCCTGGCATGGTGGAGTCCCAGGGCTCAGCCCTCCCGAGATGACACCCTCCAGAGGATGGAAGGAAGGTGGGGGATACTAGGGCCTATGTCTGTTCCCACTGGCTGAGCCTCCTTTGGCCCTGCTCACTGTCCCAGGGATTGGACTGTGGTGTGGGTGTCTCGGAGCCCCTGACCCCAGCTGCACACTGTCAGCCATTCCCCCCCTCCACCATTAGGATTGAACCCAGGGCCTTCAGCGTGCCAGGCAAAAGCAGTGACATTGAGCTACACCCTCAGCCCTAAATTTTCATTTTTAACTACGGCTGTGGCTGTTGTTACTGTGTGTGTGCGCGCGTGCGCGCACGTGTGTGTGTGTGTGTGTGTGTGTGTGTGTGTGTGTGTGTACATGCCCGCGTGTGC